GCTAGGCAGAAAATGGTCTCTCGTTCCTCCACCGAAGCCGAGTATCGTGCTCTTGCTCACGCAACCGCGGAAACATTGTGGTTACAGAACTTGCTTCGTGAGCTTGGTGTAGTAGTCAACCGACCACCCATATTGTATTGCGATAATCTTGGTGCCACCTATGTCTGCAAAAATCCTGTTTTTCATTCCCGCATGAAACATCTGGCTCTTGACTATTTCTTTGTTCGTGATCTCGTGGCTGCCAACCGACTCCATGTGCGCCATATCTCGTCGCATGACCAACCCGCAGACCTTCTCACAAAACCCTTGGGTACGACGTTATTTCAACGGTTTCGGTCCAAGATTGGAGTCTCTGATGGATCCTCCATCTTGCGGGGGCGTGTTAAGGATAATACTTAGTCAAATCTTCTTTTGAATATTCAAATGATTGTTGCAGTGTTATCCCTTCTGTTTAGCATTAGAATAGGTCATTTCCATATGTATAGCAGCGGCACCCATATTTGTAGGAGAGGTGGGTTGCAGCTTACTGTATAAAATCTTCTTCTCATGTTAATAGAAAACATCATTCAAGCTTACATTTATACGTACAATATAAGGTATAGTGCCTACAAGATTTCTATATTTTCAAAATGCGTGAAATTTCTGAAGTATTTTAAGTGCTTATTATCTTGGTTTCTATATTTTTTTAAAGTGTTGCATAAGTCCCTAATTATTTTTACTGCGTATTAGGTCCATATACTTTTTATCTGGTGGTAGTCCTTTCGGTGGCTTTTCTTAGACCAAGGCTTTGGAAGTTGTTTGACCAACTCGCACAAGTTGTTCGAAAGTTTATGGTATGATATTATTTTTTACAATAATTTCAAGAGGTTTGGTGTGAAAAACTATCCAAGTGACTACTAACCGACCAGTTAAAAAATATAGGAGTTTTATAAGCACTAGAAAAAATTTAAGAATCTATTGATCACTTTCGAAAACATATAGGAACTAATAAACACTTAAAATAACTTTTTAATTTTATGAATTTAATTTTTCATTTATTTAAATATATGAGAGCATTTTTTAGTAGGATCTAAAATTTGCAAATTTGTAATAACTTTTATTTTTTGAAAGTGAGATTTACACTAAATAGTACGGAGTACTAGAACATAGGTCATTGTCCAATGTAGTACTTGGACCTTTATATTCCCTAAATGGTATTTAAATAATGTCTAGTGACAGTGGACGTACATTTACTTGAAAAATGACTAATGGATAATGATCAGTGGTACTACATTGGGAAATAAACACCTATGGTACTACATCCGAAAAGTCACTATATATGTTTTACCACTATTTTTGTAAATTCCTCTTTTTGAAAATTAAAATTGTCATTCTCTTTTTTCGTTATGGTCAAAATGAAAAAAAGAAAATTTTTGGGACAGCACCGATAGAAAGTGGAGCCTCATGATTAGTTTTACTTTATGGAGAATTTAATTCTCTCCACATTTACACTATATTTGGTTTAAGAAATTTGAGACGGAAAAGAAAAAAAAATAAGTAGGAAACCATTTTTCTTGTTAGAAGGGAAAAAGAAAAGAAAAGTGAAAAAAAAAAGAAAATGAGAAGGAAAAATTACAAAAGAAAACCAAATCTCTCCCATTTTAATGAGAAAATGAAGAAAAACCATGTTCTTTTCTTTTTCTTCGAAATTCCATAAACCAAAATAGTGTTAATGTCTTTTTACAAGGAGTGTCAAAAAATAACACTCGAGTGTTAATGTCTTTTTACAAGGAGTGTCAAAAAAATGAAGAAAAACCATGTTTTCTTTTTAGCATGATAGTGAGTGTCAAAAAATAACACTCGAGTTTGATTTCTTGTCAAGGAACTAACTCAACCAGAAGCTCAAGCTTGTGGTTGTGGCCCAAAAAGAGTTATTTATATTCTAACACGCCCCCTCACGGGCAGGCGTAATTTTTTTTCGAGCCTTGCACGTGAAATCTTAATTTTTTTTAAACTGAGTGGCGCTGAGTTTCGAACCCGTGATCTCTTAGTCAACGAGGCTCCGATACCATGTCAAGGAACCAACTTAACCAGAAGCTCAAGCTTGTGGTTGTGGCCCAAGAACAGTTATTTATATTCTAACATGGTATCCAGTTGTCTATACCCATCCCAAATTCTATCATGGTATCGGAGCAGGTTTTGGCCCACCTCGTTTGTCACGGTGTCCGTCTAGACGTTCATTCCTAGCGGCCCGTTTGTCTTTAGCCCAGTGTTCCGTATGGAGTATGTATCCAACGGCCTGTGGCCCGTTTAACACGATTGCTCGTCTGGAAGTCCATACCCAGCGGCTCATGGTCCTTTAGGTGTTGGCGCTCAAAAAAAAAGAAAGTCAAGGGAATGAGAGTTCATTTGCAAGTGGTCAACCGGTTAGATTCAAAATGGCCCGGTTGTCCATTTGAGGGGGAGTGTTAGAGTCTATCCCACATCGGAAAGTTAAATAGAAAAGTTATCGGTATATAAGCTCTTGAGTTTAACTAACTAATCGATTGCATTCAATCTTTTAATGTGGTTCGACCCAAGTGTCTTGTTGCCCAATCCAGTTGTCTATACCCAACCCAAATTCTATCATTGCTGATAAATGTTTTGGGAGATAACTATGTTAAGTTAGGCCTCTACAAATACAAGGTATATGTTTTACTTTTTGCTATCAATCTGTAATTAAAGTCCAATAATACCTCTGGTAAATAAGTGTATCCCAAGAGTTCAAAAACGAAGACCCCTAGACCTAGGTTGTTAGGTAGAACACATATAAGAGTAACACTTATGTTATATTGCCTCTTTAGTTATTAATATAATTCGATAATAATTAGTCTTATTTAATAATGATGCTTCTACCAGTATATACAAGAAATATATACAAATTTCTAACTTAAGTAGGAATAGTAAATAAATTAGAAAAAATAAATATGGTAACAACATAATATGGAAAACTAGAATGATTTAGTATTTTCTTATTACTCCCATTATCCCCCACAAGCTAATCATTGGTAACAAAGGTAGCTTGTAGCACAAGTACTAAAATAGAGTAGCTGAGGTGGCGTAAGTAGCCACGTGAGAATAGCTACTTGAAGTAGAGAGGTAGATTTTCATTACATGACAAACGAGTTTGAGAACTGAGAGTGCGTTTGCTGAATTTTTTCCCAACGAGAGATTTGACAATGAGAGGATTTAGAGCAAGGACAAAGAGTTTATTTTTATCCTTGTGAGTGGTTTTCTCTACTTCAACATCGCTTTTTAGATCTCCTCAAACTCTAGAAGAAATACTTCCAGATGCAGCATTGATATCTTAGTTCTTCGATCACACACACGATATTTTAGAGAGAGAAGGAGAAGAATCCGACGTTAGCTGTTAGGCACGCTCGCCAGAATATGTAGTGACCATAACATAGATCAGTTGGTGTTGGAGAGGGTGTGAGATTGATGGTCGGTGAAGGAGTAAAAGAGGAAGAAGAAGAACGACGACATTGAGCACATCATTCGAATGACCGATGGTTAAGGCTTAAGCAAAAACCCTTGCTTCGATACCTTGGTACATTTTGATAATTATTGGTCATATTAATTTTTAAAGTAAATAATGTAAAAAAAATCGTAACAACATAATATGAAGAACTAGAATGATTTTGTAATTTCCTATTATTCCAGCCCATTAATAACAAAAGCAATTCAAAATGACTAAACAATTGAAAACAAAACCTTCATATTAATTGAAAATAAAATAAGTAATGTAATTGGATATTAAAAAAGGTTGGGTTAAATAAATTATTAGTCCTTGTAAAACATGCAGATTTTTTTCAGTCCCTATAAATTTTTTGTTTAACTCATCCTTACAAAAAAAATTATTTTGAAAATGATTCTTAAACATTATTAAGAATCATAATTTATGGAAAGAACATATTTTTTCCATGCATTCTCAACATCCTAGTCTTTCATTTCTAATTATCCCATACATAATTCTCATGCCCCAAATTCTACCCTTTATCCTTTATCAAATTACATCCTCAATTTTCAAATTTCATTATATTACATTCTCAAGAAATTTGGAAATTGGATATATAATATGAGTAAGGGAATAATATAAAGCATGAGAATATTTTCAAAGGTAGCTAGGGGCAGACGTACTTGAATGGAGATGAGGCAGATACTTGGCCGAATTTCAGGAGGACCATATCGGCTAGGTTGCTAAGAGAGCTGGCGGAGATACGGGCCCGATCGTGGGCAGGAAGCATGATCGTGGTCTTCGCCGGAAAATCCTCCAAGCCCGAAGAGGGACAGTGGGGGACTCTAAACTTCGTCGAGCCACCCTCGGTCGCCACCTCGTATGTCAAGGCAGGTGGGGTGGGAGGTCGCTTCGAAGTGGAATCCCGGGACGACTCTGACAGATTGCTCCCATGAATTGTTGTGCGTGGAGGGAAGCTGGTCACCATCGCCCCCGTCTCCGGGGTAAGCTCGTTTTAATCCTCCAGCTCGATCACCACCTCGCCGAGCTGGAAACGATCCTCATGGTTCGAGGATGGACGGTGCTCCTCGCCTTGGGGGGCTACGTCCCTCTTCCTCTTCTTCCCTCTTAAGAGATGGCGCAACACCAGCTGGTCGTCCATCTCGCCTCCGGATCCCTCTTGTTCAACTGAAACACACAAGGCGGTTAGCATACAAATGGTAATGTCGAAATACTCAGTCAGAGGGAGGGAGGACTCACCAAAGAAATCGAAATCGGCATTTCGCCCGGGGAGATCCCTCAGCAAGTTTGCTGGTGGCGATGTTCGTCCCTAACGAACTCAAACCCAAGCTTGGCGAGGGATTCCTTGGTGGCCACCGGTCTAATCTCGACGGCGTCCTCACCGCAGGGCTTTCTTGTGATGGACAAAAGTGCGGCGTTTGGCGACGGGGACGTGACGCAACGAAATGATGGGTGCCCAGAACCCCTGAAAGGAGACTCGGGCCCCGTGGAAACAAAGACAAAGAAGGGTTTCTAATCCTTGGGCGACCCCTTCTTGTCACTGGTGAAAAGCTTGCTCGACCGCTGGGAAAGACTAGGGTCGGAGGCCCAGTCCTTGTGGCCCTTGGCAAGCTTGAAGGTAAGCAGGAAGTGGTCTAGGGTGGGGGTCACCTTGGCCTTTTAACTTTTAATCAAGTAGCCCGCGATGTATGGATGAGAATTAGGGACTAGTTAGCAGGGGAGGAGATCCACTTCGTTAAGGAACTCCACCAACAAAGAATGCAGGGGAAACCGTAACCCCTTCTTCAACGAGGCCAAGTGGACGGTGAAGAACCCTGGAGGAGTGTCCAGGGCGGTTTCAGTCTTAGTGGGTCGCCGGAGTTCAATGGCAGGGCCGACCATATTAGTAGCGCCGGCAAACCCTTGGTCAGAGACCTGACAATGGCACAAGGCCATAATGTTCTCCTCCAACTTAACCCTAGGGCCCCGTAACACAGGGGGAGGAGAAGGGAATTGCTTCCTCAGCCGGCGTCGCTTTTGGTTGGTTATGGCTGCATATGACGGCTGAGGCGGGTCGGATTTGCTCTGATCCTGGCCAAAAGGGGCATGTTGATTGGCCTGGAGAGACCTGGATGACGGGGAAGGAAAATCAGAATCCGAAATGAACATGATGGCGAGTGAAGGACTGACCTGGAGATGAAGAAAAATGGGCAGGGTTGCAGCGAAAGAACGAATTGATGAAGATAGGGATGGAAGTAGGCGTTTAGCGGCGGTTTTATCATAGCAAAGGGGAAGACGAAGTGGAGGGTTATGATTGCATTTGAAATAAATCGTGTCAACCGTCACACGAATACCAAGGAACGGCTTGGATCCGTTGAGGGGGTGCCACCGTGGACCTCAATTACTCCCCATCCCTCAACGTGGCCCACATAAGGAATGAGGAGTTGGGGGGCTTGTGATGGGACGATACCCAATGGGAGGCCCAAATCTCATGCCCTAGGGGCGCTTGGGTACCCGTATGTGTGTGCGTCGATCCTGGTCCTGCCCAAAGGCTTGGGCCTGGACCGATCCAAATGAATACAGCTGGAGAAATCCGAATTTGAGAAGGAAACTCAGCTGGATGCGGAAAAGTAGCCGAAAGAAGGGGACCGTGTGAATCTCATATTAGCTTCCATAAATTGTAAATTACCATAATTACGTAGATGACATGTATAAATAGGGAGGACCCAAACGGGAACCCTCAAGCTAAACCTAGTGTATAATTCCATAATTCTTGAGTTCTTGCTTCTAGTTAATTCTTTCAATCCACCGTTCAAAATCGGATCATTTGGTGGATTTATTGTCCATCAGGGCCCATCATGAAGAGTCCGACCGCATCCACCAGGATACTAAAATGGTTTGTGTTCCTCAGCCAATTCAAAATTGAGATCAAACCAAGACCATCCATTAAAGGCCTAGCATTGGCCAACTTCATGATTGAATGCACGGCGCGGGACAACTCTCTCACCCCCATGGCCGAAGAAGGAGAATGGTGGACGATGTCCCCATATAGATCCTTGGCCCTAAAATGCATCGGGGGTGGGGGTCATACTCACCACACTAGAGGGATTCTGCACGCACCATGCGGTGAAGTTTTTGTTCAAAGTCATGAATAATGAGGTGAGTATGAGGATTTGTTGAGCAGGTTGCGCTTGTGGTGAGGGTGAAGGTAGGAAATTTGAGGATCAAATGTGACTCCAAGCTTGTAGTGGGACAAATCAAAGGGGAATTCAAAGCACGGGAGGAGCGAATGAAGTTTTACAGCGATGCGGCCAAAGACCTCCTGGAATAGTTCAATGCATATGATATCATGCAGATACCACGAAGTGAGAACGCCGAGGCGGAAATATTATTGCGCTTGATCTTGGAGGTACCCGAGAGGATTTCTGGAATCACGAAAGTAAAAGAGTTGACAACCTCAAGCATATATGCAAATCCGGTGCTCAGTATCACTAATGCTGATCAGGATTGGATAAGTGACCTTGTAACCCCCCAATTCGTATAATCCAGAATTATAAGAATTAAGGTGAAATAAGAGCAATATTTTTAAAACTTATTCGAAATCATTAAATAAAATTCATAAAACAAAACCCCTAAATACAACATATTAAATTCGGATCGATCCTTTTACAAAATGTCAGAGATAGCGGAAGACTTAAATAACACAAATACAATGATGTGGGTCAAGCCCAAAACTTCAAATGCAATACTTGTGAAAATCATGCATGTCAACCTGTCATCCTATCATCTCTTCGTCCTCTGGTTGGTTTACATAATCCGTGCCTCAACCTACGTGTAGACAAAAAGACTACACGCTCAGCATAAAGCTGAGTGGTACGATAACGCGAGAGATCGATACCATATTTATACTTAAATACCATGCATCACATTGGCCACATAATTTTCATGCTTGCATAGTAGATATCACAAGATATAAGGTACACATATACATATCAAGGAGTTTCATTCTAGAAAGTTATCCAAATATATATACCTTGGCCTTGTCGCCAACGATGTTAGATATGAAGTGCAATATGTTTTGCACAAATCTGAGTTGCCCATATTCATAGATATAACCAAGATGTTTATTCATGGTGATGGAATGATATGAATGACACGAATATCATAATGACCAAATGTTTCACATGTTGACCAAATGTTCCATGCCTGTACTTAGAGTACAGGAACCTCATAATGACTACATGATATATGATGCATGAGTTAGATTATGCAGGGACCCCCTGGCCTTCGGTGATCATCCCACGATAGTGATGAGCCGAGGAAACTTTAGTCTCTTGAGGAGACTAGAAAGAAGTGGGTGATAACTGAAAACCTAGTTACCATGTACGTACAAAAGCCCTCCGAATAAAACCCATATGACTGATGCGAATGAATCATATATCATGCGTCTACAACATGCGTGACTTAATGCCATGATATGAATGATTCCTATATCATGCGTGACTTATGACCTTGAAGGCCTTATTTTGAAAACTAAGTCTGTGTTTCTAATCCGTATTTCAATTATTGATTCTTACCTTGAAAACACTTTGATTTCGGACCTTAAAGTTCAGCAGTACCTGATAATCGATTATCACTTGGTGATAATCGATTATCAAAGTTCAGTAGCCCTTGATAATCGATTATCACTTGGTGATAATAGATTATCAAAGTTTAGCAGCACCTAATAGTAGATTATCAGAACTTGATAATCTATTATCACAGTACTCGGCTTCACTTTGGTCTGTCAAATTACGTTCATCCTTTTGAAAATTATAATGAACATTTAAGATTTACAATATATCTACATATGTAGTGTCTATTCATTCCAACGGATTTCTAGATGATTTCTTTTTTACGAGTTTCATACCATATATCTTTATAACGAGAAAACTACGAGTATACGGATTCAACGGAGATTATCCCAAGTAGTTGAGCATATAAAATAACAATTACACATTCGTTCATACCTGTAAAACACATATATTTGGGCATGGATTTACGTTTTCATGTAATCGTCTAAATATAGTGTAGGTGTTTCCCAATTTGTTCATTCCCGTGTCAAATTTATACACCTATACGTATCAAATGATGCTATTACGATATCTAAAGGTATTCCCTCAAGCCTGACCGTATTCTTCATAGCCTAATCGTTCTACTACTTTTATTTCAAAATTCATATTGTTTACGATTGAGTAACGTTTTCTAACCCTCGTTGTTCTCTTACGGAACGTTAAGAGATCAAAACACATGACATAGATCATATAAACAACAAACGTATTTTCATATAAATATTTTCGTGAAAGTATTCTTTTTTAAAAGAATATATACAGAGTAGTAAATAACTTGAATTTGATTTTCTTTTTTATTTTGCATTACCTATACAAATTATGTCTTTTTTCTTTTTTATTGTGTAGAATTTCATATACTTTATCTTCGTTAAATTTTAAGAATGTTTTGTAATTGTGAACTTCTTTAAAAATATCTCATTCTGTTATCTGAATATCTAGGATACCAAAAATTTCAAACTCTCTTCCTTCAAAAAAAAAAAAATCAAACTCTCATCATATGACATATTATGTTTTGTGTTTAAATTACATTTCACATATTATCAATCTTTAAGTTGACAATTAAAAAGAATACGCATTTAGAGTCCAAGAAAATAAATATGTACATGATATATATTGAAGTGTACATATATGTGTGTGTGTGTTGCACTTTAAGGCACACCCGCACTCATATTTCTTTTTTATATTTTATCTCTTTCAGACCCCTACACCCGAATGTGTCATCGCTTTATGTAATCTAGAATGGTACCAATCGTACCAATATACCATAATTAGGGCCTGTTCTTTAGGAATGGAAAAAAAGAGCTAGATGATTGAAGAAACTGGAAGGAACTAGAAAAATTGAAAAAAAATTAAAAGGAACTTAAAAAACTAGAATAAATTGTAAAATCTAAAAAAAGTTTTTAAAAATTTTTTATGTGTGGTTTTAAATTATTCCCATTCTGATTCTTGTTGATATAAATTATTATTATTACTATTACTATTATTATTATTATTATTATTATTATTACTATTATTGTTGTTGTTGTTATTATTAAATAGTTTCCTAATTTTTCATGTAGATTAATATACAAAAAAAACAGTATTATTCATATTAAAAAGTTGAAGAAAAAATAATAATGAATGTGAATCATAAAAAGAGTGAGATGAAAAAATGAAATAATTTATAAACTATAGTTATGAACATAAAAATTGTAATTAAAAAAAAGTTGGAATAATAATAATAATAATAATAATAATAATAATATATTTTTTAGAGTGATTTGTTAGAAAGTAGAAATAATTTCAAAAAAATAAATATAGTTGGAAGAAATTAGAAGAAACTGGAAAAAACTGGAAGGAACTGAAAAGAACTGGAAGAAGTTGGAAAGAAATTGGAAAGAACTGGAAGGAGCTGGAAAGAACTGGAAGTTAAGAGTTCAAGTCCTAAAGAACATGCCCTTAATATAGTATGAAATAATCGTAACGATAAAAAACCACCATTATAATTTCACAAGTTTAAATGATTAAATTGTAAATTAAATAGTTAAATATAATCTAAACGGATTTCTTGAAGCATCATTTCTTTCGAAACTAAATATAACGAAGTCAGATTCGTTGTCACAAAAAAATGATGTTTTGACCGTTATCCAAGACCGGACGGTCTATTTCAGAAAACTACGAAATCTGAAACAAAGTAAAAATAGACCCCAAAATAACTAATTGAGGCACATTTACAGTAACATTGAAGAGAGTAGGTTACCGCCTTGTTATGGTGACCCCCAGTTTCACCCGTCGTTCTCTCCTCCATCTCCACACCTGTCATCGGAAAAAACTGTAGAGACCTCAGACAGCAATGAATTAGAAATGCCAGCCACTTCAAGCCCAGTTTCATGAGATGGCTCAGTGTCTTTTCCTTTCATCGCAACAGATTGAATACATGGGATATGTTCAACATCCTGTCTCATATCTGTGGTGTCCTCGCAATGGAGGGGTTCCTCAGTTTGGTCTAAATTATGTTGGGAATCATGGGCGGGCTCTTGTACCTGGTCACTGCAACAACTGGTACTGGCGAATTCATAGTTCTCTTGGGCAACTGTGATTTGTTGTTCTACAAGGTCTAAGGATTTGGAACTATTATGTGTCTCCGGGTCAATATTTCCCAAATCGCTATTTGAAAATGATTCGTCCTTTGTCAAATTAGGATCGTCCACTGTTAGGGAAGGGTGAGGTCCACCGGAGGAGGTAGGAATAGACTGGAAAGTGTCCCAATCGTCTTCTTCCTCTTCCAAGGAATTGTCTTCAGATTCTCTTGTGAGAGAACCAGGGGAAGCTTTCTGCTCTGTTTCCTCAACTTGTGGAGGCAATTTCAAATATAAAGGTGGTACAGTCGGTTTCGACTGGCCTGGATTCTCGTCATGATTCACTGATGCACGAATTATATCCTGAAAGGGAAATATTTGTAGATATCAAAACGCGTCACTGATACACAGTAAACATAATGCTCATATCTGCCAATTGAATGAAGACTAGATAGAAACAGTCCTGGATAGAAGAGTTCCTTCAGAAAAAAATTCAAGACAAGTTTATCAAGGTCAAATGAAATACAGGGCAGTACACACAGAAGCCAATTACAAAAAGAGATATAAAGGGATAGAAGATCAAATTAGAACTATTCAAGCCCTTATATATATCATACAAATTCATAAAAAAAAAGGATAAGCTCCGCGATGTTTTCAAAAATAAGCAAACACTGTTGAAGAAAGTCTTAGACATTGTTACAAGTCTTTGGGAGGGGCAAATGGGGCAAAAACTATATGGGGCTGCATTATATTTGTCGCCTGACAAGTTTTTTGACCTAAAAATAAAGGATTCAGATTATGCTGGCGATCTACGTTCCATGTTCAATGATGTGTTGGAGGAAATGATTGTTGATGAAGCAATACAAGAAAAGATAAGTAATCAAGCTGATGATTAATTGATTATTCTTCCATGCAAGGACACTTGGAAAATCGTTGACAATCAAACAACAGAAAACAAAAACTCCTCACGCGTATTCATTACCTTATATTGATATATTCACATAGATTGGTTTTATAATATTTAAAATCAAATTGTAGTTGAATGGTGAGCGGCTTTAGGCAATGACGCACAGACCTCCAAAGGTTTGTGAAGCGTATCATAGGCCTGTGTTGTTCTTCTTTTGGTTGTGAACGCAATTGGAGCACCTTTGAGTTCATAAGTTACAAACCACTGATTAGTAAATAGACTAATTTTTAATATTCTAAATTTATTCTTAATTTCTTATACATATTTAATTATAATTTTTTTCTTAGATTCACACAAAGAAAAGAAATAGGTTGGAGTATCAAAGGTTAAATGATTTGGTTTATACCAAATGCAACCGAAGAATTGCGGCAAGGTTTCAAAAGTTACAAGAAGAAAGGGAAAAATCGAGTAACTACAACCCTTTGTGCCTCAATGATTTTCAATGGGAGAACGAATGGGTTGATAGTAATGCAGATGTGGTTCATTCTGGAGGTGATCTTTCATGGGCACATGTTGATGAAGCCATTGGTGCATCAACTAATCATCTTGGTCGCAATCTGCCCAGGACAGCCGCAAGTAGATCAAACACTCAAACCTCTCAGAATGATTTGATAACTTTTTCTCGTAGGCATACTACTACTTCTACTGCATCTGCTACAGTGCCATTGACTGATGAAGGTTTACAAAATGAAGAAATTGAAGTTGATGTATTTCTGAATGATGATGAAGAAGTGGATGATGATTATGGTATGAGGTGTACTATGATTAACCAGGAGTCAACAAGGACAAACCATGAGATGTTGACTGATGACCACTTATTCATGGATGATTAATGATTAATGAATCATGGACTAGCTAGAGACATGGATATGAAAGTTAAAACATTTCCTTTTTGCTTTATTCACTTTGAGACTTTAAGTTGTGTTGTTTTTTTAAACTCTTTGTTGCATAATGTTGGTATCAATGTACTCTTTAATTACTTATTCCATACTATGTGCTTTTACATTAGTACATGAACTACATATAAAATTATTAAGGTTGTCATAGCCCACTCACCTAGGGGACGCCTAGGCAGGCGCCTAATCGCCTAGGCGATTAGAAGGTACTCTATTGCCCAGCCTCGCCTAGACGCCGTGACAACTATGGACACACGTTGAACACTGTGTCCGAGATGTGTCAACTTACTAAACAAATAAAGAAGAAATTACAAATATTAGACACAATGTCGGACACGCTACCTAGTGTGTCCTTGATGTGTCCAACATTTATAAAGTCAAAGTCAAAGCCAATTAAAAATCTCATTCTTCTTTTATTAAAAATATGTACAGGTCAATTTCCGTAAAAAACCCTCAACCTTACACTTCAACTTTGAAACCCTAGGCCCTAAATCGGATAATCATGATACACAATTGCATCAAATGATGAGAAATCTTTATACTCACACTGATTTGTAGCCATAAAAATACTTGATAATTAGAGATACATTAATATAAAAAATTTGAAATATTATTTTTATAACCTTGTCATTACCTTTTTTTAAAATTGTCTCTCTGCATCAGCATGTTAGAACCCGTGCAACATACATCAACAACCCAGAATATTCCCAACAGGGTTTGAGGGTCAAGATGTACGTGAGTTTACCCATGTAAGAAACACGAGGCTATTTCTCTTTTCTTGCAAAGACTTTATAGAAACTAAAACACAAGAGAAGTTAAACGTGCCATTTTGTCTCTCTCTCTCACTCAAGTTTTTATAGCCTTTCCATGTCACCTTTTAATAATGCGCTAGATTCCCCTGAAATAGATCCAACATCACATCTTTTAGCTATTGCTGAGCCAGATCCCAGTGTTGATAATACACCTATCACTCTACGAAAAGGTGCGTTCAACTTCTAACGCTCACTCGAGTTACAAATTTCTCAGCTACCATCTTGTTCCTACTCCTACCTATACTTTTATGTCACACATTTCTAATGTATATATACCGATTTCCGTTCTCTTCCAAAGTGGGATCATGCTAAGTTGGATGAGAAGAAGACTCTTTATTCTAGCGGCTATGGAAATTCATTCTGCTTTCTCTTGGTAAGTCTGGTAATTGGGTGTCGGCGGGTTTACGCTGTAAAGGTTGGTCATGATGGAAAGTCGATCATTATAAAACACCACACCTAGTGGCAAACAAAGTTGCACACAAATTTACAGTCTTGAATATAAGGACACTATGTTGCATGAGCCAAAGGTTCCATCTTCCACGACTGCCATGAATCATTAACCATGTGTTTCTGTCTATAGATGCTCACATACAAGTTAAAAGTGAAAACAAAATATAATTAAAAAAAGAATAGAGAGTTTAAAGCTATAACAGCAAACCACAAAAACAAATAGAAAAATATAGTATTATAATCCCTCCGTCCAACAATAATCTTTCCATTGCACATTATGATGTTTGACTGAAGTTATTTTCAAATCATTTTATAATACAAATAGTGTGGAATTAAAAAATAAAAATTACATATTAAAAAACTACATCAAAAGATCTACAAAACTAGAGGGTACATGATTATATTATTTTATGAAATGGGCATCGAAGATGGATCAAGAAACTGAATAAAGTTTGACACTGTGAATAGTGAATGGGAAGATTACTTTTGGAAGGAGGGAGTAATGTAGTATGAATTTGAATAATACGGAGTAGAATAAAACATCCACTAAATAACAACAGCAAGAATAATAATAGTAATACGCATAGAAGCTTAAATAATGATACATCGAACAACAACAACATAATAATGATGATGATGATGATGATGATGATGATAACAACAACAACAATACTCCGTAATAATAATAATAATAACAATAATAATAATAATAAAAATAAAAATAATATGAGGGGTTTTTTTGCCAATGGAGATAAAGAGTTGTTTTTGATAATGTTAAAGCTTTTACTAAATCAAAATGACACATTAAAGTTTCTTTGCTTCTTTATTTTTATGAGAGGTTTTTTTGGGTAGCGAATGCATCAATAGTCTAAGAGAAAGAACCTCTTTGTTTTTTTACGGGGGTAAGTTTTGGGCAGGACTATACTGGGCATGTTATTATCATTGCCGTCTTTTCTTATTAGCACAAGCTACTAAATTGACACAGTTACCTACACGGGCAGAATTTGTGGAAATGTTCGCAACCACACAAATGCAAAGACAGAACAAATCAAGAGAAGATCAGATAATTACTTGAAGTTGTTGTCTCCTATTTATAGGCATTGACAGTAATACGTCCTTGAAGTAGACAGTTGAATAAGAAATTTGGGCAAGTTGTGAGACCAGTTTTATAGCCATGATTCTCATCTCACGTGTTCCCTGGAATCAAGTAGATGGTCATAAGCATAAACGCACACCTGTGAAAGCCAGATGAAACAAATCCAAATGCTGTGTGGTTAAGTTATACCTCAGAATGATCATCTGATGATGTAAAAATCAAGAGAATAGTTTCCAAGAGCAGATTCATAAGACCTTTCTGGCTGTCGATATGTTTTGATAGTGTCTGGAGAAGCATTAAGATTTTCAAGCATTCTCCAACAATTGCTACAGCTTCCCTACTAATCACTTTCTGCCACAAAATGACAACCATTACAGTTAGTGTGAATGACAAAGTGTAACTCATTAGTCATGCATTATTGCCTGCAAAGAAATACCTTTAAAATTTTCAGGATTACTGTAATAATGCCTTCCACAAGTTCCCCAACAAAGAATATTGCTATAGAGTAGGATTCTGCAGTGGCCCCTTTTTGTAGTATTCCCTTTAATACCTGCAAACCAACTGCTTGAACCTGCAGATAAATATGTCAAGTGTTTAAGCACGACTGATGGCCTTCATCTACCATGCAACATAAGGAGTTACCTGTATCTCAGAATCACTAAGAACAGTCTGGAAAAATTTAGTGCAATGGCATAATGTGGCATATAAGACCACTTTGAATTCTTGTTTTTCTCTATGACATTCAACTTCAAATGCTGTTTTAGCCAATGAAATACATTGCTCCAAATACATAGCAAGCTTCATGAAATGTAGTTTTAGCCTATTGGACTTCTTATCCTGGAATTGATGAATACTCTCAATACAGTCCTTAAGTGAACTAGCACTTGCACTGATACAAGCTCTAAAAGTGGCAGTAAAGAACTGGACATCATCATCTCCAAGGTGAGGCGCGCCTGTAGTCAGAAGGAAATGAGTAACCAAATCACTAACATCGATAAATTTAGCCTTGTACAGAATCAATAAACTAATACTAGGTTCTTGTGCACAGCATATAAAATATTGGGTTCTACTAACCATTAACATGTATTAAAGGAGTGACGGACTGGAAATAATCTTTCATTCTTGTAAGGAATACATCAGTTGTTGCCAATCCAAGGCATTTGAAACCAACCAATATAAAAGCCAATAGTGACTTTAAGCGCATCTGTACATAGACATCATGGAAAAAAAAGTAATTTAAACCAGTGATGATTTTAGAGCCTTAAAGGTAGACGAGCATAAAACACAAAATTCCTCACCTTTGATTCAAACCGGCTCAGAAGCATCACAGTTGTAGTAAGTACTGAGAAAATCATATCCTCTCTATCTGAATGGTATTGAGAATATGCATCACTGACCACAAAAAAAGCTAAAAATTATTAATAAACTGCAGCTTCTTAAGCCTCTCATGGCCGCTGGCTCTGATCCTATCAACTATTTACAATTTTATCACGAGTGAGGTGTCTAGTACCTTGAGAATTTAAAGAAAAATGCCAAACAGAGTTCTATTGCCAAGTCTGCATATTTTCCTGTCTCTAGGAATTCTTCGGGACAACATTGAACAATCTGTTAAAGAAGTCCAATGAGGGCATTGGGCAGTGGGGGGGATGCAAAATGAGATACCAAGCACAACCCACAACCATATATTTATATACTACGTATATAATAAAAGCAATACAATCAAACTCATGCATCTTTTTAACATTTGCATCAAAATATAGCTCATTTTTTGCCAATAACGACGACAAATAAAAGCAGAAATAAGTCATTACCTACACAAAGATTTGCATCAGTAGTGTAAGATATGAAAGAAGGTTGTGTAGTATTTGAATATGAAGAGCACATGGTGAATTGCTGAATTAACAATATTATAGTGAAACAATATTTTGAATCAGAATTTCTTTGATTAAATAACAGTAGGATGCTGTAAATACCTTAGAAAAAACTGGCATTGCAAGAGAGTCCCATACATCACTTGCATAAGTGGTAAAAGAAAAGACCTAAAGCCATTTGGGATTTGAAACAAAATGATTAGACTGGAAATCAACAGAGAATGTTAGAACTAGTAATTAACCATGAGCTTGATCTAAATTCTCCCCTTAAAAATGTCTACCAAACACACAGATCCAAGCGGATTGGTATAGAAGATTAGAGAAATTTCATAGAACCTTAAGACGTGCAACATCCATAAATTGCAAAACGATAAAACAATAATGAAGGGCATAGAGTAAGACAACTCTCATTGATATAAAAGATACAAATTATAACTTGATTAATTGCAAAGACTAATGCATTAGGACTTAAGAGTGTTTGCAAGTTACAACTTTCACTTTTGCGAGATAAATAATATCTTATATAAGAAAAAATATTGTCTGTTAAGTGAAATTTAAGTGTTCGCAAACAAAAAAACTGAAGTTCTTAGTAAGACATAATTAGTAAGTTTTTCAACACTGAGTTCATTATTGTGCAGTATTACCTTAAAATTAGGAGTTTGTAGGTGTAACATTAAATAGGTTTTGTACTTTTGTAACCATGATTAAAGCATACCTCATGTCACCCCATGATGTCTTAGCTATTCTCTTTATACCTTTCTATCCTACACATTTGAGATATGCACTAATAACAACTATACCGAAATTTTCTCTGAAAATATCATGATAGAGAGCTATTTTGTTTCAACTGTGAGTATCAACTTCCCAGCATGAACAGTTCATTTCCCAACAAACCTACTTCTGTGGTTGCAACTAGAAAACCTGGGCATACCCCTAGAATGACCTCCATTCCGCAATCAACTTCCTGGATAAATATCGTCAGCGGGCAATCCATTCATGCTCACTCCACCAATCTCAGAAAAAAAGTTGTTCATTTTCAAGGATTCATGTCAATCCAGGTTGCTGCTTACAACACCGCCACGACATGCATAATCACCATCCTGCATTGCATGCTCCACGTGCTGTCATCACTTTTAGCGCCTCCGCCACCTTGGTTGGTGCATCTAGCTACCAAACACAAGTTTCCATGCATATGTACTTAAAAAGGTCAAGGTCAAAAAGACTATTTGACCAAAGATAACACCAATGTCACTGATAAGCAAAATGAATGTGATAAGATGGATGGATTACTATGCAATGTTTTACAGCATTACAATGATCCCATGTTGCTTTCAAGTTCCAACACATCAGCCATACCAGACTTGCAAACAGATTTGGGAAAAAGACAAAGCCAAACTGCACTACCAATACGCATAGCTTGTTTTCACATGGATACAAAACTACTGGCTCAAAACAACACGGGTACCCAATACATTATGGACCAATTTCAAGCGACACTGTTTGAATAATAGAGTACTCAACTGATTGAAGAAGGCACAGAGAAACAGTTAGCCTAAAGGCAACAACTTATAATGGTGTTAACCCTGACTGGATTGCATCCTGAATTTCAATCTATACGTGACCAAGAACTGCATGAAGCTTGTAGAGAAAGGAGATGAAGAGGAGAGGATGGTGATTCAAAACATGTATAGGATTGCAAGAAAGCCAAATTAGCGGTGTCGGCAACAAAGACTGCAGCATTTGAACATATGTATAAGGATTTAGTTTAAAAAGAAGGGGAGAAAAAATTGATTCGGTTGGGTAAGGTACAAGAGAAGAGGGCATGGGCTTTGGAATAAGTGAGATGTGTGAAGGATGAAGATGGGATCCGCAACCATTAAGAAAAGATGGCAGCCGTAGCAAGATGCACAGGGGCAGAGCAATATGACTGGACGAGATCCCCATACAGTTTTGGAAGTCTGTTGCTAGAGTAGGGATGGTGTGGCTTACTGAGTTATTTAATACAAAGGTATGCGTTTAGTGCATTTCTTTTTTCCGTAGTAATGGACAAATTGACGCGACATATCAGAGGGGAGGAATATTATTGTATGCTTTTTGTTTATGAAATTGTCCTAATTGACAAGATGCACAAAGGATTCAATAATAAATTGGAGGTGTGGAGGTGAAACGTGGAGTCTAAACAATTCAAATTGAGCAAGATCAAGATTGAATATATAGATTGCCATGTGAGTGAGAGCACGACTGAGTCAAAAATAGAGGTGAAGATTGATTTGCAACCCATACGTAAAAGACATCGGTGTCAATACCTTGGCTCTATCATCCATGCTGATGGTGAGATTGATGTGGATGTTGTCCATTGGATCAGAGCGGGCAAGATGAAGTGGTGGCTCATTTCTAGTTCCCTGTGCAACAAGAACGTGTCAACAAAAGCTGAAAGGAATGTTTTATTGAGTGGTGATTAGATCGGCTATTATCTATGGGGTGGTGTTGCCCACTAAAGAAGACACATGTGCAAAGGTTCGGGTGACAATGATGAGGATCCTGCTATGGATGTATGGTCATATAAGGATATAGAGATTTCAGAATCAGAATATCCGGTCAAGGACGAAGGGGAGTGACATCTGTGCATGTGATGAGGAGAAGCATGAATGCCCCAATTAAGAATTGCGAGGGGTTAAAGGTAGGAAATTTGAGCGCTACTGATACGTCGAAGAAGAGTTAGGAAAAGTTTATAGTCAACACTTGGGACTTCGGGAGGTCACTAAGGATATGACCCTGGATAAGAGCACTTGACGATCTAAGATTACAGTTATAGGGTAAGCATAGGTTAGAGTAGTTTCTCCTTGTGTGGAGCTTTTAGGATTAGTTAGATGTAGCTAAATGTTTGCCTAAGGATGGTTTACATGCTTTAATTTTCCTTTCCTCTTGGTTTCCCTTTATTTATAGAACTATACTAGCCTTTGTCTTTGCCTTATGTGCTTTAGTCGAAGGTCTTACCTCCACCTTCTATAGGTAGGGGTAAGGCCTGCGTACACCTACCCTCCTCAAACTGCATTTGTGGGACCTGACCAAATCCTAAAAATCTAATCTTCCAGCAATGCCTAATGCATTTATTAAAAAATTGGGATGCTCCTCTATCTATTGATCAATCATCCATCAATTTTACTATTCTCATCTCACAAGTTAAATGCATTGGGCATGTGATTTTTGTACAATACAATATTAATACACTTAAGGTGTTGGAGACACATGTCGTAGATAAAGCTAGGGAGGACACTTAGAGATGAAAGGCTTTAAAACTATTATAAGATGCACACTCATTAGGTGACATCCCAATTGGAAAGAACATGTCACGAGAAAAATTGACTTAGATGGAGGCTCTTCAGTCTAGTGGTACACGAGAGCATGTTCAACTCTCACTAGGTAAAACTTTGATTGGGCACAGGTGGCCCCAGTCAATGAAAGTTAGTCTTGATGGTAACCCTGCTCTACTTGAGGTTCACCTCTGATTTATTTACTGGATTATGCTCATACCTTTTTCAAGTATCAAAATTGCTCCCCTTACTGATCTTTCCCATGGCAGCTATGAGTCCTTGTGTACTATTTCACTTAGATATTCAATATGCTTCTTTTCGTGGTGACTAACATGGGCACAGATGGTGCAACAATCATGTTTTGTTACTCGGTGGAGTCTAGACTTTGTACCTTTGATATCATGAGAAGTTCCAGTCTTGTACTAAGGGGCTGTTTGGCAACTTCTGAATGGGTAAGTGCTGAACCAGTAAGAGGTCTGAATCATTAAGTGCTGAACCAGTAAGAGGTCTGAACCATTAAGAGCTAGTATATTGCTTAACTATTCAGAGGCAAATGTCTGATCAATTCAGATAACAGCTCTTAACCATTCAGACTCTGTATAATACTTAACCATTCAGAGGCAAATCTCTTAACCATTCAGACATCTGAACCANAACTTCTGAATGGGTAAGTGCTGAACCAGTAAGAGGTCTGAATCATTAAGTGCTGAACCAGTAAGAGGTCTGAACCATTAAGAGCTAGTATATTGCTTAACTATTCAGAGGCAAATGTCTGATCAATTCAGATAACAGCTCTTAACCATTCAGACTCTGTATAATACTTAACCATTCAGAGGCAAATCTCTTAACCATTCAGACATCTGAACCATTAAGAGGCTGAAACAAACCGTCTGAACCATTAAGTGCTGAATCATTCAGACATCTGAACCATTAAGAGGCTGAAACAAACAGCCCCTAAGATATCCTAACTTTAAGGTAATATTCCACACTCTCCATCAAGCTGACGTAAAAAAATTATTCATTACAGGCTTGTTAAATATGTATTCTATTCAAGATCATCTTATGACAATTGTAATAATATCAACCAATTAATCTTTTTATTTCTGGATGAACCATAATTGAAATTTTTAATTTGGGTTGTTGTGCATTCATATTACCTGCAACAGCTCTTGACAGATCTCCAATGTCAGAAATCCTGCATTGAAAAAACTTTCTCTTGACAAAGCATGAAATATAGGGAATAACGTGTCACAGAGCTTTGATTCTGCATTATTCACATCCCCTTTTTCAGATTTTGCAGAGCCCATTTGTTTCATGCAATAGTGGAGAGATTGATCTTGACCATGAAACAAAGCCATAAGAGAATAGCCCCACAAAAACTGGAATTCTTCTAACCCCAGCGTAACCATGTTGTATTCAGAGATGCAGGTACTCCGTGAATCATTTTCAGTAGAATATGACTCCTTGGAGACGAAGTTCCTTGGAACTGCATCAAATACAACTGCTTGCAGAATGGGGGGCCAGGATTCCTCTAAGCATGGGAGCAAATTAGTTGAAACTAATGGAGATTGAATTCCATCAAGGAATGGTTTCCACTGCATGGAAGAGTCGTAGTTGTTAACCCATATAAGTCAGCATAATACAAACCGAAAAAGATGGCAAGAAATTGCAAAATGTGGACTCACATTTTCATTAGGATGTGAACAGAAGCAGACATAACAGTAGTCTTTCAATACCCCAAGCCAGTACATACCTAGAACGTTTGAACTCTCAGAGAGCAGAGGTAATAGAGATGCATACTCGCCAGATATCTCATTATCTTGGTTTCTCAAGAATGAATAAATATAACATTTTAAAGAGGCATGAGCTGTTAGAAGCCTTATTTTGATCTGGACAAGTAAGATTTACAAAAGGTGAAAAAAGGTTAGTTAATACTGAATTACTGATGAATTCATAGTCTTAACATATTGCTATTTGTAAGTTCACTTCAGGCAAACTATGATCGCTAAGACCAGAGTTAACATACCTTGCATGATACCCACTCTGCAAATGATGGATAGTAGAGGTCATCAAATTCACTTAGTGGTCGAGAGATCAAAGAAAATATCCGTTTCACAGAGAGTTGGTCATGAGTGATAATTTTGCATGTCAATATCTGTAAATTTTTATGTCATCATGTCAGTAATAGAAAGTGAATTCTCTCTAGAAACTTAAAAACTAAGGCATGAGATAACTTAAAACCTTAGTCACAAGCTGCAAGCCTGCTTCCAAAAGTATAGGACCAGAAGAAGAGTCCAATGCTGTTCGAATTGCTGAAACAAGTTGGGCCTGTGAACAATATGACATATTCCTCAGATCATTAACATGAGTAACATAGTAATAAAAATCTGCGTACAGGCTAGAATTCAAGGCCTTAATGAAGATGTAGGAAGAGACTCAAGAGAGTAGAGAGAAAATGAAGAAGGTTGTGAAGCTAAGAATTATGGTGCTTCCAGATGCTTGCCTTTGCAGGAGCACTGGTTCACAAGCACAACTTGGACTTGCAACAGTCAGAGGAATTTCACCAAGGAACCAGGAAATTGAGTCATAAAAAATGAATAAAATGGCACATCAAACTTCCTTCACTTCTTACGTTCTATAACGATTTGAGTAGTTTATGCAGCAATGCATCAAGAGTCTTACAGAAATAGATTCTCTACTTCTTACGGGGCAAGACTGCCTACATCTTGACCCTCTAGAGTCTAGACCCTAAAGGGAATTTACTAAGTTTTGTTGTAATTGTCATCTATGTTACAGGGGTTCTTCAACTAGGTGCCGCTTCCCATCCCCGAAGTATCCCTGTTTGGAGAGTTGGGGAAGTCACGACTCTCCAATGGATGCATTTGTTACATGTAGAATATCCATCAAATACAAAATGGTCAAACAATTCATGCGGAGATTGCTTCAAAGTTCAAACCATATACACAGTGCCATAGTCTGGGAACTAGACTACTACAACAACAACAACCCAGTTGGATCCCACTACAGTAGGGTCTGGGGAGGGTGTGTGTACGCAGACCTTGCCCCTACTTGGAAGCAGGGAGGCTGTTTCCAAGAGACCCCCGGCTCAACCTGCACAAAAAATATGATAGGGTATACAGTATAGCATGGATAAAACACCAAGTACAAAAAACCTCTATAGCACCGAGTTCCTAACCAGCTACTCTAATCCTAGTTCTCCAAAGGTTCTTATCTAAAGCCATATCCTCAGTCAGGGTGAGAAGTCCTAAATCCTGTCTAATCACTTCCTCCCAATTCTTCTTAGGTCTACCCCTTCCCCTACTTCCCACGAAAACCGTAATCCGCTCGCATCTCCGTACAGGGGCGTCAGCATCCCGCCGTCTCACATGTCCAAACCATCTCAACCTCGCTTCCCGCAATTTATCTTCCACCGGCGCCATGCCTACCTGACGTCGGATAACTTCGTTCGAAATCCTATCCAACCTTGTCTTCCCACACATCCATCGTAACATCCGCATCTCCGCCGCATGCAGACGACGCACATGAGTCTTCTTAACCGCCCAACACTCT